CGCCATGCCTACCCGTTGAATATCCACCGGGGGAAAATGAACGGAAAACGGCTTCTTGCCAGCGTTGCTCGTCCAAACACGTTCCAGGGAATCAGCCTCAAATTGCCGGGATGTGTAGCACGGTCACTTTCCAAATGGTGTGACCTGGAGCTGCTCCGAATCCCCCGAGAGAAGGTTGGTATTGACGGGGAGATTGCTGTGAAAGAGGGATTGCGGCTACGTTTTCCGCACTGGGCGACGCTCAGGTTACAGCGGAGATCACGTTGGGTCCTCTTCACTGACCGTGGTGAGATCGGAGTCTCCCTGGTTCTAACTAATCTAACCCTCAGCCAAAGAAAATCCAGATCAAAGGGCCGTTAAAAGGTTAGGAACAGGTGAAAGAAGAGGCCGCGTGGTTGCCCCAGGGCATTGGCTCCTGATCCTAAGAGAGAAATCAATGATTAAAATGGCAAAAGGGAAAGAGCCAAGCTGGGAATCGGGGTGGCTTGGCGGGTTTCAGTTGAAGCTCTGCGGAAAGGCATCCGAGATGGCTCGGGAGGGAGGGGAGGTCTCCTGTGCGGCTGCCCGCCGCCATGCTGTGAAATTGAGCTTGATCTGAGATGCCCTGCGGGGGCACAGTTTTTCTACAGGGAGGCCAGGTGCGGGCATTTCCTGCTTCCGTGGCAGGGCCAGAAGGGACCATCCAAATTTCTATGGCAAGAACCTTTCCATCAAAAAATAAAAGGCTTTTTGCCCATAGCAAGGTCACCATTGCTATAGCTCCAGGGTTTAGAAACGGGTTGTGAATTAAACCGCCCCTTTGAGAGACGGATAGTTCATACCAGTCCCCAAAGCGTTCATTCACGTCCATCTAGTCTCATCTCTGCGCCAGCCTGTGAAACTGCTGAAGCCCAAGAAAATTCACAGGGCATCTGGAGGTTTTTGCCCATACGTGGGCATTTTTGAACTGAGAATTCCTATGCAGAATTGGAGTGAGAAAAAGGGAGGAGCGAAGGCAATTTGATCCATATTTTGGGGCATTGGCCCCACAGAGCAGGAACCTCCCATGAGTTTTGGATACTTTTCCTTTGCAGGCTGGCACCGGACTCCATCAACTGTACGGAGGCAGAAGCTCCCAATCACTGGCAAGGCGTCTCGGTCAGCCGCCTTTCACCAACCCCACCCGAGTCCTTGGCCACCGTCAAATCGCTGATCAAGTCATTTGATTTGGGATGCTCAGGTGAGTGGACTATCGTGGCTCCCTAGTTTTGCAACATTTTTTTTCCCCCAAATACAGGTAGTCCTCACTTACTGACCGCAGTTGGGACCAGCAACTCCATCACTAAGCAATGTGGTCGTAAAGTGAAATGTCAAGTGACTGCACCGACTTACAACACCAATTCCTGTGGCAGTCATGCAGCGAATCGCCCACAGTCGATAAGCACAATGTCACGTCACCGAGAGTTGCAATTTCCTGCTCGCTTCTCCATCGACTTTGCTTCTTGGAAGCCAGCTGGGAAGTTTGCAAACGGCGATCACGTAACTGTGGGTTGCTGTGATGGTTGCTACCTTGAGGACTGGTCATCAGTCTCCTTTTTCAGCGCCATCGTAACTTTGAATGGTCATTGAATGAGCAGTCAGTAAGTGAAGCCTACCTGCACTTTAACAGGGATTTCTACGGGGGGGTATCCAAAAAGACAAGATGGCAGCCACACCCAAAGGGGAGTAGCCTTGTTCGTGAAGCTGTGGCTGCCATCTTGACTTTTGGTGTGTGCACACATATGCGCGCACACACGGGATGCCCCTGTACTCATCTGCCACATCCTGGTTAAGTGTTCCCAGTGTGGCTGTTCAAGAGCATTTTGCCAGAACAAAGGGATTAACTGCAAAGCCAGGATTTGGATATTAACTCTTCCCAAGGCTTTCTCTGAGGAGGTGGGAGAGGATCATCGATTCATTGAGCTGGGGGGACATTAGAGGTCATCCAGTCCAACCCCCAAGGCCCACTAGAGCACCTCTACCGATGACCGTTCTCCTGGCCGCGAGGAGGCGTTCTACTTCTGAATGCCAGGCAACCCAGGGAAAAGCCTGTTGCCTCCTTGCGGCTAGGATTCCGAGGTAGGCTGCTCCTGAACATGGATGCCCCACGTGGCTTTCCACTCCTTAGGGTCCCAGATTCTACAAGAGTGCCAGATTTCTTCCCCATCTTCTCCGGGTGAGAAATTTCCCTCCCCAACCTCCGAAGCACGAAACAGCCCGATTTTGGATCGTCGGTGCGGCTGTTGCTCCCGTCCCAGGATCCCTCGTGCATACGTGACTCTCTGCTCCCCTTCGCTCTCTTGCAGGAGGCACTGGGCAAACCGTGCCCATCCACAAGGTGTGCCGGAGTCCTCTCAGCAACATCCCCACCCGGACGGCTCCGGCGGCTGCCGTATCACCCATCCAGGTACCCCGAAGGGCCCCCTCTCGCTCTCTACAGCTGGGAGGGCCGGGTCTCCGTCCGCAGCAGCGTTTCTCAGTCTCAGCACGCTTTGAGATGGGTGGGCCTCCACTCCCAGAATTCCCCAGCCAGCAGGTTGGCATTGAAGCCCACCCGCCTTAAAGCGTGCTGGCTGGGGGATTCTGGGAGCTGAAATCCACCCGTTTTAAAGTTGCTGAGACGGAGTAACCCTGGTCTTCAGGGAATTTTCTCTGAAAGAAGGGCTGGGTTTCGCCCACCTCCAGCGGGGACATGGAAGCGGGTCTGTTTGCTCCTCTTCCTTAAGGCAGCAAATACAAGCAGATCAAAGCGCGCCTTTGGCGAGCGGCAGAGGACTCCTTTGACCTCTCTGGAATCCAGCAGCGGAGTTCAGATCGGTGGAGCCTCTGGAAAAAGAAATCTGGTTTTGATCTCCTGCTTCCAAGAATTCCAGCGAACGATAAACAGAGGGGGCGTGGTTAGGAGGCAAACAAGAGCTGAAGGTGTGAAACTGATCAGTCATGTCAGTT